ATACCTACAAGCTTCCATACCAAAGCAATTAAACAACTATGAGCAAACAACAATCAATCGCTTCCAAAATACCCTGAATAGAATACTCGTTTAACTCAGTATTTATTTCAACTCAGCTAATAGTTAGCATAATCTAAAACGTTAATTATCGCTTAAAATATCGCTAATGACAACTTATGCCTGAAGCCGAAACGTCAATTTGATTTTGTGCCAAAAGCCGCTCCTTACCAACGACTGAATAAATTGGATGGTAAACGTTTTACGAGTCATGAAGAAGCACGAAACACGCTATAAACTGATTTAGACTTGACTAATATCAGACGGACTAATGGCTTCAGACATCCAAGGAATGCATAGAGATAAACGAACAAGGACAGTTTTGAATACGATCACTGAGATCCTGATTCAATCAACCATTCAGCAAATGAAGGAATGAGCAACAAAACTCGCAATCTACGTGATCATGCCAGAATACAATAATATTCAGTTTCTCACGTGTCGTCGATTTGCAGGCCGTTTTTAAGCTCTTTGTACCCATACACTGAGCTGAATTATTTCGAAAAAGGAATCAAAACTTTTTTAAATTTGACCACGAGCATACATTCGAGTCTGCGCATATGACTGCAAGCTGAACAACTTTCTTCAGTGTCACTGAGCTTTTCCCTTGCGAACAACTACTACAACTTCTGAACCCATGACAATAATCTACACTTGAACAGACAGCAGCAGTAGTAAAATTAACTAGTTAATACTTGGATTATTTAAATTCTTATATAGTGAATTTGATCTAAGGAACTGATATCCTGCAAAATATTTCCGTAGAGTTACCTCGCAGTAAATATGAATATCACTGATTTACACTCACACCACTTATGTATGAATAAGTGAAAGTAACTTACGACAGGTGGAGAATCAACTCCGATCACGTGACAAGTGGAAAGAGGGTTAATGATCAATACCTTTTCAATCCGCCACTAACGGTACATCGGCGACAAGGCTTGGAACTAAAAACGTCAATTAAATTCGCGACTGAAAAACTGATACCGCTGAAAGCAACGAAGGTCAGAAAAAACTAAACATTAAATAAATATTTCAAAAATAGTACGTCAGACAGTGGAGAACTCAGCAGAATAGAAATAAAATAACCAGAGGAGGTAATTACGGGTAATCGCATTGAGATGGTTAAAACAAATTCTAATTCAGCTGGAAGAAGATGTCAAAGTTACAGCAAAGTTGATGAAACAGTCGATCAGCACAGACAGCCACAGCCAAACCAAAACATAAATTCGGTGTTTTGACAGGTGGCAGACATCGGTTGTACTACAGTCAATTTACAGAGTATTTCGTTTGTGCGTTGGTGGTCAAACTGAAAAACATCATTATTAAACAAAAATATCGTCAGTCAGGCGCCTGACCAGTACTCACGTTTCGGTCCTTGTCTCACTTGCCTTCTCCAACGTGTGAGGTTGGTAAAGAATGCTGTTCTTACGCGGTATTGAACATTAGCATTTGCTAGCAAACCCATAACACCGAGGTTTGTTTTTGGTTGGTAGGTAGTTTTTTTGTTCTCCGCAGCAGTTGAGTAAATGGCTTCTAGGAGACAAGGCTCATCCAGTCAGAGCAGAGTTCACATCTTTGGTCACGAATGACACCGTCCCAGAACTGAATGATTAATGGCTCCTTTACTAGCCTATGCAGCCAGTGCCTTTCTCATATGATGCTGGTAAACTATGCGCATCGGATTAGGAGGAGGTCTTTGTTGTGCAGCGTACTGTACAAGCCCGGAGGTCTTTTCGCATTGTTCCTTGAATTTGCTAATGGTGAAGTTTTGTTTTCTTCTTGGGTGTTTCATTATGACGTGTTGCTAACGCTCGTCTACAGTCGTCTATCTTCTCCAGCTAGACGGGTGTCTTTGTTTTTTGAAGATGGTGTTCCCTATTTCTCCTATGCAATATTTCCTGCAGTAACAGGGTAATTTGTAAACAGCTAAAACAGCTACTATTCTCACAATTACTTAATGACTCAATAAGTTCCTTAGAGTTTTAATATATAAGGTCGTATGAATGATCATTAGTGTTAAGTCATCTTTTTAACTTTTCAGTAAAGTTCTTAAGATAAGGCAGAATTAAGTAAGGTTTATTATTTAGAGTATTATTCTTGACATTAACAGTGTCAACGCTGATTCAAAGTAACTTTATTTACAGTTTATGATATTACTAACAAACATAAGTGGATAATAATTATTACGTAAAGTCACCATGATATGATCTGTCTTCTTGAAAAAATTTATTACTCAGAGTTTAAGAGCTCTGTATATTAAAGCTGTAATTGCAGACCATTTATTATTTAAATTATTATGTGACTTAAAGTTTACATATATATTAGTGTTAGTGGGATTGCGATAAACTTTAGTTTTGCATCAAATACAAGGCATTTGATTAATTTTTGACTATCAAAAAATCACGGAAAGATAGACCAGGGTTAATTTCTCTTTCAATGATTTAAGTCGATATTTTGAGGAAGTCTAGCACTTTATTTAGATTGCCACTGGGACAGATGGCAAAAATATTGTCAACATATCTAATGAAAACCCCATGAAACAGAACTGCGTTCTTGTCCTGGACTACATTTTCAGTGTTTCACTAATTTTTGGCCAGGACAGGCAAAAGTCAATTGCTCATAGGTGCAAAGGAGAAACAATTTGCATGTGCTACGCAAAATGGCATCAACTTTATGACAGAAGTAGCTGAAAGGTAAGTACATGATCATCGAAGAAACTAATCAATCATTTTAATGGCAAGGCCAACTGGAATATTGCTAAATAAGTCTATAACGTCGCAACTGACCATAATGCTCCTTTCGGAGGTCTAATTTGTTTCAGTTCCGTGCAAAACTGGTGGAAGTTCATGGCGTAATATGGGCGAGCAAGGACAAACCCCGCTGGTCAAAGTCTATCGGCGTTGTTAAAGAAAGACAGTGACTAAAAAGGCGCATCAAGAAGGCATTAATCATCGAATCCTAACGACCGTGGCAAAGCATTCGAACTCAACGCGGATTGGATGAGCTCTGTTATCCCTGTCGCCCATAAACCATTTACACAGTTGCTCGGACCAGAAGCTTGCCTTTGGCTCAAAACCTACTAACAGCAAGGGATACAAGAAAACTATGCGAAATTCTACCAACCTCTCATCACTGAAGAAGTCAAACCAACAACAGTATCGCAACGTCTCCACTGGGCAAGCATCCGATTGCCGATATTATTTGGCATCATATTTTAATAAGCCATGTTCAATATTATTTCGCAACATACAATATATATCGAGATTAAATTAAAGTCAAGAAATTTATTTGCTTATAGTGGTATTAAAGCCCATTCGGTGTCGAGGCAAGGTCAGATGTCTCCGAACGCGTCCATAGGTTGCGGATAATGGAACAACTCTCAGACATGAAGGTTAGCTGTGAAATAATTGGAGAATTTGATGTCAGTCGCAAAGAACGCGAGAGTGCTACGAGGGCGCGGCGAGCCAACCTTTGGCAAAGTTGGCTTTAAAAAATACCACATGACCCGAAGACAGCGCGGTGACATGGCGAGTACACGCCGTCATCAAATCAGCACGCTGCTAACCCTAATGAGCCGTAGCCGATTCCCAGCCCGGTTGAGAAAGACAGGCTTGTGTCAGGCAGGCAGCTGGCC